GTAGCCACAAAAGTAATGATAATAAGTTTATGCAAGTTCGTCTCCCAAATTGTTTTGGGTAAATATTTAAACCAGATCTCACTTGTCTAGGAATCCTAAACCTGGTTGACTTCCTGTGATCCTTATGTAAAAAAAAGGGGTGGGGCATTATAAAACATTTGGTTGTACAAGTTGGATATTGAAAACTCATCCTTGAAATTGTCCTCTCTCCTGCTTTCCAAATATAATCCATCACCATGTTCTGTTGGTTGTGATCTTAAAATTCTAATTGAATTTCCATCATGTCCATTTCCATCATCTCCACCCTTACAACACTGGTCCAAGCTACCATTCCCTGGACTAGAGCCCTGGCCTCCCAAATGCTCTACCTGCAGCCATTCTCATTGAAGCCAGCATGATTTTTGCCATTCTGAGGCTTTCCTTGACCCGGTCCCCAAAGCTTTGAAGGGATGTGATGCCTGCTTAGCAATGCAGTTTCATCTTGCAGCACTCTCTCTTTCATTCTTTGAACTACATGCATAAGTTCATTCAAAAAGTTCCTCTAATAATCCAAGCTTCCTTCCTCCATAGGTTCTTTGTAAGAGCTGCTTCTTGTCTTGAAAGCTCTTCTCTTCATCTTTGCCTCATTAACTCATTAATTTCAGCTCAGTCCATTTCCTCAGGGAAGCCTACTCTGGTTTTTCTTACAAGGCTGGGTTCCCTACTAGGAATCCTCTTGTTTAAATTTTTACATTTGTTTAAGTGCTTCTACTGTTAATACCTATCTCCCCGAGACTGTAAGGTCCAATGAGAGCAGCAAACTGCTCAGTTTTTGCTCTCTCTCCTATTATTGTCTGTGACTAGCACAGTGCCTGGTATGTAACTGGTGCTTAATAAATATTCACTCAGTGAATGAATTACACAGCGGTGTTCTTGGAGCAGACAGGAGAAGAGAGAGAAAAAGGCGACACAGAAGAAGAAATGGTAGGGGCCTGGGTAATAAAAGAGAGCAAGAATAAACAGTGATCTAACACTAGAGAGTCAACAGAATCAATCTGAGTTATCACTTCATTGGAGAACAGTAATAACAGCATGGATAGACTGTGGTGAACTCCCTGTGAGGGTCATGCATAAAAACTTTTATTAGAGATGCCATGGATGTGTGTGATTTTGATCTGATAATCAAATGCTTGTTTTCTCTGTTAGTTAAGTCAATTATTCACTAAATGAGTAATTGAATTGACTTCTAGTCTAAATGTAGACTCTGGTTAACAATTCTTTTTTTTTTAAATTGAGATATAATTAACATAACATTGTTATAGCTTTAGGTGTACAGTTTTTTCATTGTGATGAAAACTTTTAAGATCTACTCTCTTAGCAACTTTCAAATATACTACACTACAGTACACTACAGTATTGTGTGTTTTTTTTTAAATACAATGCTGATTTTATTCCAGCTAAATAAAGCAATGCGCAAGTCTCTTGGGCAGTAAGGTTCACTCAAGGGGCAAAAGCCAAGCAAGAAGGATTTTTCGTGTTTTCTTTAATTATCAGTCACTGTACATTGTTCTCTCCCACATTTCCTCGCAGAAAATATGGACTAACAAATTCTGTGCAAAGAAACATAGGAAAGGGAAAATGGAATTCATCTAGCACAATGTTGAAGGTGGTTTCTCCAATTTCTCTTCTATAAACTCCCCCATCAACACCATCCATTCTGTATTATTTTAATATCATGACCATCTTTCCTGATTTTCATGCACAGAGTACACGGGTTGGGATAAGCGGACACGTCCTTTCCACACCCAGGGCTAAAGTCTCTAGGGCATCCTGGTAATTTATACTGATCACAGTTTGGTGTTCTGAATTCTGAAGTCTGGCCAAACTCAAGAGTTCAGAGTCCAAAGAGACTGCCAAGTCCCCATCTTGGAGGAACAGTGCAGCGCCAAGACTGCCACGCTCCCTCCCTGGCCGGCCCTCAGGTCATCAGGTCCTCAGGTGGCTGGCTACCCCAGGGTCGGGGGGACACACAGAGTGCTCCAAGGTGGGGCAGGTTACAGGCTGGGGTGGGGTGGGGCTCCGAATTATTAACTAGAGTCAGCATGCTGAACATCGCATTCCCAGGATCTACTTATCTTATACAGTAAGTGGAAGTTTATACCTTCTGACTGCCTTTGCTCCTTTTGCCCACCCCTGGCCTGTGCCTCTGGTAACCCCCAATCTGTTCTCTGTATCTGTGGCTAACAATTTCTAACCAAATTTTAAAATAATGATATTTCACATGTTTACAGATAAAAGAATTATTTCCCGTGTTGAGTGGTGTTTAAAACTGCTCGTGTGTCCCACATTTTGGTACAAAGCTGGCTGTCTTCCATACTTGAAAATCAGTGGTTCAACAAAAAAAAAACAAAGAGAAATAGAAATCTACTTCTTTAACATGACAATGAGTACTTACTCTAATCTAAGAGCTAATGATAGATTTAATGGAAAAATGCTAAAACCATCCCTCTTAAAACAAAAATGAAACAAGAAAATCTTGCTATTAACATTATTAGTTAGTATTCAGACATAATATAAACTGTGAAAAAGGAATACAAGAAATAATATTGGAAAGGAAGAGACAAAAAAGTAATTTGAGGATAACATTATTAAAAAACTAGAAAAGCCAAAACAGTTTGTCAAACAGAAGTTTTAAGTAATTTTCATTATTAATATAATTAAATACTTTTTATTAAAATAATGAAAGAGTACTTAGAAAATATGATCTGCCTATCAGTAATAACTGAGCAGCATACATAATATTATAGATATTACCTATTTATGATAGATATTACCTATTTACAATTTTATATGTGTATTTCCTATATAATGAAGAAATCTATTAAGGATTACAACAAATGTTAACAATACAAAAAACCCCAGAAATGTTAACGATGCTTAGGAAGTAGCTTGATTTAGATATCTCTGGCTTAAAGTTCTACTAAGAAATTAAAAAAAGAAACCACAAATAAGTGAGAGAGTTCCATATTCCAGGATGAAGGACTAAATATGATAAAGATGTCAGCCTTTTTCAAATTTATTAATAGATTCTGTATAATCCCATTAAAAATTCAAATAGTATTATTTTCTTATAACTTGGAAAATTATTATAAAATTCATTTGGCAAATTACTGGGCAAAATCAGAAAAATCAAAGAATTTTTGTGAAAAATTAAGTATAGTAAATGGTTAGCCCTAACGGCCAAATATTAAAACGTATTAAAAACAACAGTGACTAAATAACATGGTACTGGCTCCAAAACAGACATAAATTTTAACTGAAGAGAAAAGAAAGTCCAGAAGTACTTTATTTCTGATGAATGTTTAGTAAGAGAATAATTATGAGTCAATGGGTAAGGTAAGCATTATGTAGAAAATCCTGTTGGATAATGGAATACCAATTTTGATTAAAATAGTAGATTGTTACAGAAATGACTCCCTAGAATCATGTTTCCATTTCTACACCCTTGTTTCTCTAGCTATGGACACACTACAGAGTTTTGGGTGGTTTGTTATGCAGCAATAGATAACTCGCATAACATCTCATGGTATATACAGAAATATATTCTATATAATTGAACAGTTAAATTTATAATCAAAGAAAATAAGCCTTGATCTGAGACCTGCATGAACTTGTGACATTTCTGGTGTAAGACCCTCTGATAGTGTGCTTTCTTGGCTTTACAAGGGAAACCCGAAATCTGACTACCGAACTTTAAATACATCACAAAATACAATAGCAAAAGAAACAAAATGGAAAGAGACACAAGAGACCAGGAAAAACAATAGCATAAAAACATGGCAAGGCTTAATGCCACTTCTTCATAAAGGTATTCAAATTCATATGTATAACAAAGCTATGAACAGAATATTTACATCAGAGTACATAAGATAGTTTATAAACACAAGGAAACACATCAGATCTTGAGAGCAGTCAAGAAACTAGAAGTATAACAACTTTGAGGTAACATTTTGTAGCAAGGAATTTAGAGGGAAAAAAAGAGTATAATTTGGTGTTAGGTTGTATTTTTATGGCACTGTGAGTGTATACTTTGGAAAGCAATATTATTGATAGGCACTAACATTTTTGTACATTTTGACTTAAGATTCCTGTTCTAGGAAGTTATATAAAGAATATAATTCAACAAATGTAAAAGGCCAAATGCACAAAGGTATGTTTTACAATATTATTTTTATGGTAAAACTTGGAAACTTTGTATTGCCCAGTGGAGGGGTAATTACTTTGTCTGAGGCAAAAATAAGGGGTGGAATTTGAAGTTACCATTCAATTCTAAAATTATGAAGATCACAAAGTAGCAAGACATGTTTTTGTCATGCTAGATAAAAATGATTCAAAATTGAATGCTTATAATGAACATAATGGAACGAATACACATGATCTTATCAAATCCTGACTATCTTTGAAGTAAATTTTAGTTCCATAATTACAGAAGAAACAAAAATTTAAACAATTTCTCCATGTTCAAGCTTTTCATAATAGCCCGCAAGCCTGTTAATTGCAGCAACCACCCGTTTTTCCATTTCATCCAATCAATCATCTTTTTGTGCTCAAAGGCTTGCACTTCCCACACCATCTCGCTTCACACAACAGCTTCACATATTCAAAGAATTTGCAGCGCTATGCAGAATAGTAAATACCTTTTTAAAGTTTACGGGATCATAGGTTTTTCTCCCTCACCTTTCAAACAACTTTTTAAACATTGTATCTATTTTACAATACAAAAACTGGACATGCAGCTAAAGATAAAGGATGAAAGTCTTCCAACTGCCCTGCCCCAGCCACCCTGGGAACCTCAACTCTGTGCCAGGGCTGTTTACTAAAGGTCGCGGAAGGGCGGACCTCAAGGAGGTGGGGCTAGCGTCGCAAAAAAAAAAAAAAAAAAAATCCACGCAAAAAGCCGCCGTGCTGCTTTACGGCACTCGCCCCGCCCCTGCAGGTGCGGGAAGCTGAAGTCGGGAAACATGGTGGCCTCCTGCTTTCTCAGCAGGGGTTTGACTGCCCTAGCAGGGTTGTTGCTTTTCTCCTTCGGCAGCTTGGCCGCTAGTCAGATCGAGGTAGGAGTCAGGCCCTCCGAGCGACAGGGCCCTGGGAGGTCAGCTCTGTCGTGGCTGTGAGCGCACCAGCTGAAATCTGATTCTCAGCAGCGAAGGGGAGCATCAGCGTCTGACTAAGGCTGACTGGCTTGTGTGTGGGAAGGGTGTCACCGGGAATGGGATAGGACACTGTCGACCTGTTTCGCCGTTTTAAAACGACGAATTTAAAGAATCAGCTCTCAGGAGAGGGGGGAGGACTCGATCCATTACTCGAACGAGTGTGCAGTCCCTAGCAGTTGATGTGTGAGCACAGGAGTGAAGCACCTACTTTTCTACTGCTAAACTACACTGCTCCCCTTTGTTAGGAATCAGATGGGTACGCTGTTTCATTTTGGAGTCACAAGACGTTCTGGCCTTTATAAAACTTTTTTACTCTATCCAGTACTCGGACAGTACTTCAGGCCAGTTCTACAGTCTAGATCTGTTTTCAGGCCTCCCTAACCTCTTGGCTAGGGGCTGGGATGGTTAACCGACATTTGCAAATCAATGTCCGAAGTTTCATCTTCAGCCTAGCCCACCTCCTATAGGACTGCTCCTAAGTCAGAAACCCGTTTGTTTTAATAAACTCTTTTTATCCCGTGTGTTGATCATCACTACATTCTGTGTTCTGAGCTTTAAGAATTGCTTTCACCTTTCCAGTTCCACTGGCTTAATGTGGGCTTTGCTCATTTCTTGCCTAGACTATTGCAAGAACTATCTTGTTTCCCCCAGGTTTCCAAAGTCCCTCACTTAAATGCTAGATTAGTCTTCATAAAATGCAAACCCAGTCAGGTTATTCTTGATTTAATCCTTTCAGTGTTTTCCCCATTGCATAAGGAGGAAAGTTTATTTAAACATCATAATCTGGTTTCTGCCCACTCTTCGATCTTCTTTTTGGAGTCTATTCTTTCTACCACATAAGTACCTTGAGTTTAGACCAATGAGTTCTAAACTTTTTGAATACATAGCCTCCAGTTAGAAAAGATGGTGCATGCACCCTTTCGCTGTATCCATGAATTGCTGGTAATCTATATAGTCAATATTTACAAGGTATATTCTTATATAATACAAATACGAATAGAAGTTCTGCTGTTTTTCTCCTTTATTTTAGTGGATTATCTTGTATGCTTCATTTTTGATACCTTTTTTTTTGTAGTTATGTTGTTTCTGTGCTTTTTCACATTAACCATGATTTTTTTTATACCTTTTGTTTCTTATGTCTTCTTACTAAGATGCAATAAAAGTATAACCTCTGTAGAGTCTTTCCTTATCCCTTGCTTTGCTTATACTCTTGTAATTTGTACACTTAGCTAGTGTAGCATTCATCTACTATAATCCATACATGTTTTGTAGTATCTGTTATTCCTACATCTTTCACTTAAGAGTCCAGTAGCTCCCTAACTGGTCGGCTTCAAGTCTTTTTTCTTTCCAGTCTGTTTTCTAAGCCGCAGCCAGAGTAACTTTTAAAAAATGCAAATCAGATCCTGTCACCCATAAACACCTTAATGTTTCCTTAAGGATGGTGAACAGAATCTTCATTATGACCCATGAACAAGGCCCTACTCTTCTCTTTCTTGGACTTCTAGTTGTGCTAATCTTTTAGTTTCTCAAAGCTCCTTTTTGCCTTAGGGAGGATGTGCCTTCTATCTTCCCTCTTCTCTTCATCTTTTGAATACTAAGCACAAGTCACTTCTCTAGGGAAGACTTCACTGATGCCTTCCTACTTCCCACAGCCAGAATCAGGTCAGGTCAGGTCTATCTGGGAGTCTATTGTACTCTTTCATGATACTGTGTATCTTATCTCTATAGAATTTATAGTTTGCCCTCATCTGCTTAATGTGTGTCTATCAAGTTGGATAATATCCTCTTTGGAGGCAAGTACTATGACTGTTTTTGCCCTTCATTGTATTCTCTTCACTCAGGACAATGGCTGGCACATGGCACCCAATGAATGTGATGAATGAATTAATGTTACATTGCAGTGTAACATGTTTGCATGCTTCTTTATTGAACTGTGGGGTTCTTCAGATAAAGCAGCATGATTTTTGTATCACTGTACAGTACATGTAACTGGCACATAATAGGTGCTCCATTCATTATATGTAGAATGAATAAGTAACTTTGCAGTGCCTGTATTGTCTAAATAAAAAACAAAAAAATAAAAAAATCACAGAGGAGTTTTGCCATATCAAATTTTTCACTGAAGTCTTAATGACGTAAGAATTTTCAGCTAGACAGGATACTTGAGATTATTGGGTCAGATCTTACTTTCAAGTCTAACGAGCTAAGTGACTTATCCCAGTCTCACAGCTATGTGTGGGTTAGGATTTGGGCTAAAGCCCAAATCTTCAAATTTTTAAACTAATGCTTTATCCACTATAGCATACTGTTTTCTTTTGCATCTAGAAAGCTGTTGAGAAAGGTTAAAAAATACATAAATATGTATTTGAGGGAATTTTTTGTTTTATTCTCCTTAAAATTTTCTTGCCAGCTGAAAATTAAAACAGCTAACATTTGTTATGCAATTACTGTGTTCCAGTCACCATTCGTACCTTCTGTGTATCAGGTAATATATTACTATTTTATAGATGGAGAAATGGAGGCATAGAGAAGCTTTCCTAAGCTTTTACAGCTAGTATATAATAGGGTCCAGATTTGAATCCAGGCAGTATGACTCCTCTCATAATTAATACTGTTTGGTAGGAGATCTGGGGTCACTAAGGTTTATATTCACTGTAATTTTAATATATAATAAATATATTCATTAGGTGTTGATATTATTGGATGTTACAATGGCAGATATGGTTCAGACTTTAACAGATTAGGGAAATGGTACATGGAGGCATGCTAGAGAATGTGCATCAAATATATTGCTGTGTTCAATAAAGTTACTGGAAGCATCCAGCACAGAGTAGGAAGTAGTGAATGAGACTTCAATAAGAAGGGTATTAATTGTTATGTGTAGAATCAGGGCATGAAAATAAGTCAGTCGTTCACAATTTGAAGACTGAATGGAAAACTAGAAGCATATGAGGAAGAGCTGGTTGTGTTTGAGATAAACTGTTTAAAAACAAGCAGCCCTCCTCCATGCCCCCCAACAAAATTAAAACGTTTGTCCTTTATAAGATCAAATACTAGAACCTTTATAAATTTGCATAATGATAACTTACTATCATTTTAACTAAAGACTCCATGAATCTTAACTGTTCTTTATTCAGTCTTTATTCTCAGAAATGTTGGCTTTTCTAATGTTTTTGAATTATTTGACTTGTAGGATCAAGCAGAACAGTTCTTTAGAAGTGGCCATACAAACAACTGGGCTGTTTTGGTAAGTATGTTTTTTGTTGTTGTTGTTGTTTTAAAGATTTTATTATTTGACAAAGAGAGAGACAGTGAGAGAGAGAGAGAGAGCACATAAGCAGGGGGAGTGGCAGAGGGAGAAGCAGGCTTCCTGCCAAGCAGGGAGCCTGAAGTGGGGCTCAATCCCAGGACCCTGGGATTATGACCTGAGCCGAAGGCAGCTGCTTAACAACTGAGCCACCCAGGTGCCCTAGTAAGTATGTTTGATAAGGTATATGTTGCTGTTCACATTAGTTATGTTTCTGAGAAATTTTTTGTGTCAATCAAATTTAAAAAAAAAAACAATTTTCTCGTATCTTATAAGAAATTCCTAAATTTGAATTGGCTACATTTTAAATTGACTGTATCAACTAATATTCTAGGGTTTCAGTGTATTGTCAAGTGGTGATATGTAAATAAATATAAGAATATATTAGGGATACTATTGTTAAAAGAAGCATCTTATAAAATGTACAATTATTTTAATGATGGAAATTAGTAATTGTATTTCTTATCATTAATATTAGTTTGTAGATAATCTCTATTTAGGCTATTAGAAAAAATTTTTTTTTCTGCCCACAAAAATAAATGATCATCATAGAAAATCAAATTATAGAAAAGTTTAAGAGGGGACAGATTAATTTTATATTAGATGACTCTCACCTCAGTTTAAAAGAAAAAGAAAGAAAATATCTTCAAGTCCCACACATGCCAGAATTAACATTTCGATTCTTCTGACCTTTGTCTTCATATACAAGCCTAAAGATAAATGATTTTATGTAATGAGGGTCATCTTATACCTGTTATTTTGCATTCCCATAGCAGTGTATCTTGGAGATCTTCCCCTGTCAATATGGAGATGCATAATCATTTCCAAAGTCTTTATTATTTTGTATTTTATGAATGTACTTTAATCTCTTGTTCACGGGCATTTAGATTCTAACCTTTTTGTTTTAAACAAGGCTGTGTTGGACAGCCGTAAAAATATACCTTTGTGAACTTGACTGATTTTCTCTTTAGGATAGATTCCTAACCTATAAGGCTGGGAAGTTATGGAGCATAATTGCTCTCTAGAAATGATATACCTCTTTTTTCTAATTGCAAAACAACTGTGTATTATTAACCTTTGCCATTTCTTTTTAATTGCTGGGTAACAGATTAAATTTTGTTTTAATTTGAATTGTTTTGATTTTTAGTAAGGTGTGCTTATTGGCCAATTTTTTTCTTCTGCCTTTTTTTTTTCTTGGCGTAAATTATCATCTTAATTTATCTGGATTTATAAATTTGTATTTTTAAATTCCTTAATAGAATACGCATCATCAGTTTTTTTCCCCTGCACTTGGAACGTATTTGGATAATAGTTTCACTGCTGAGGATTTATTTAATGACATTTACATGATTAGAAGATATAATAAATTTGACTTCATGAAAAAATTGTAGAAAAGGGTTGACTGGAAGAAAGAATGAGGAAATGAGGCAGGAAAGGAAGCGAATTTTTATGAAAAAGGAAGGGGGCTCATGGGTCATTTTATTGTTCTTCCACAAAGAACACCTATATGTTACCCTTCAAAAGAGATTTTATGAAGGAATTGAACAAAAGCTGCTTAAGATAAGGAGATAGGCTTTTGGTGACCAGTTAAAAGAGAGGGACACTTAATCAGGAGACAGGCCATGATCCAGCAATTCTGGAGGATAACTTGCTCTTCAGAAACTAAGGGCTCTTCAATGACTAGTCTCTCTATGGGAATTCTTAAGAAAGGGAGTAAATGCCCATGTTCAGACAACTAATTGCCAAAGGGCTCATCCTTTAGAATAAGAGCCTTTTAGCTTACGCTGCACACACATGAAGCTTTTCTTGTTTGGGAAACCTCTAACTGAGCCCCTCTTCAGCCTCAGTAACTTGTGTCTCAGATGAGGAATGAAATGAGGATGAAAAAGAATTATTACTGAGCATTTCACAACAACTGCAGTTTTGTATTGTGTGCAATATTTTACACATTAACTCAGACTTCGTAAAGTGAGACTTTAGTGAATTGTGCTTTCTTAAATGGAAAATCTTGAAATTTGACCAGGGCCAAGTTGAAAGTACTAAACATGCATTTTTTTTTCAATGTTATGTAATTCAGATTTTAAAAATATATGTTTCTCTACCAGTTTGAATTACTTTGTCATGACTAAATGATCAGAGGTAAATGGAATGCCCCTTTGCCATTGTACTGTGACTGAGAAACTTTCACCACCAGAGGGAGATAGAAGGAAAATTGGATTCCCTTTTAGTTTCAAGATCTGCTTTGAGTAAATCATTTTTGCTCCTGTTAAATAAAAAAAAGTTATAATGATAACCCTTACTTATGGTTAAAAAAAATACAGTGAGTAAGGGTATGAACTGAAAAATCCTTGTACCCTTCTTTGATTCCCATTTTTATTCTCTATGATCACTTATTATTTTCTTGTGCATCCTTTCACAAATTTCCAATGCATATAATTACATTTGTGTCTATCCCTCTCTCCTTTTAAAAAGACTAATGGATCATATCACAAGCTGTCTTACCACTGGCTTTTTAAAAAAAATTTCATTTTGAGAATATGAATAATTTATATTAAGTTGTTATTTCTTCGTCCCTACTCTTTTGCCACCTTCATTTCATGTTCAGTAAATTGCTGGTTAAAAGGCAGGCAGTTTTCTTAGGTTTATGCTGAAATACTATAGTAGCAAGAAAAGCCTTTTGGGTGTGGTAAATTGCACTGAATATACTGGTTTTTGTTATGATTAATTCAGATAGAAATTAAACTACTCAAGTTATGGAATCTGTAGATTTCTAGCTTTTTTATTTCAATTTTTGCTAGTACAGGCAATGTTATAATGAAAATTCTTGATTACATATTTTTTGTACTTATATAAGCTAAATCAAAAGATAAATATATATTCAAACTTGATATATCTTGCAAATTACCCCTTTAGAAGGTTTATATTAATTTACATTCCCAACAGCAGGATATGAGTTATTTATTTCCACACACAATTGTCAATACTATGAATTGTCATGGATTTTTAAATATTCATCAATTCAATTTGTGTTTTTTAAATTATGGTAAAACTTGACCATCTTTAAGAGCTTATTGACCATTTTGAATACCTTTATTATGAAATGGTTGGTTTCATCCTTTTCCCATTTTTGAAAATTGGGTGGTTCCTTTTTTTTTTAAATTGAGTTACAATTATTTCAAGTTTTTTTTTTTTTAATTTCATTTAGGACTTTGTGGTATTTTTGACACATGGAATTTTACATTTTAATGTAGTCAAAAGTTATTGTCTTTTCCTTATTGGATTCCAGGTTGAAAATTCATTTTAATAAAAAAATCTTGTAGTTCCTTTCCATTTGCAGGGGCAGGAACATTTATGTGATTCTCAAAGCTGTCATTATACCCATGACCAGCAGAGGCAGGTGGTAGGAGTCTGAGAGGGTGCTGGTGGGGGTAGGTATACTTTTTGGAATGGATTTCCCATAGGGCTGATTTTTTGAGGCATAGCGTTAAATTTGCCTAATACCTTTGGTATCATTTTTAGGAATCAGTTTGTTGTTGTTGTTTTAAATGTAAAACTTTTTTGGATTGTTTCTAGTTTTCTATTTGGTTCAACAGCTTCTTTATAATATATTCTCTTATGTGCATATAAAAGTGCTTTGTATGTTTATCTATCTAGCATTTTTCATAACTGGAATTAGGAAGCAGTCCAGAGTGAAAGGAATATTATATAACCCAATATAGTTAATTTTCTATTCTGTGAAGAGATTATGGGCATTGCCTTTGATTCTAAAGAATTTAATCTTTTAGACTTAGGAACATTATAGAATCACATAAATTGAGAGTAACTAAGTTGGTTCAGTATTTGATTAAATTCCCCAAAGATTTGGTTTCTCTTAAGCTGAATGGTCTTTTTATTTAATAGCAGTTATGAAAGACCTCTTTCTAGAGAGCTTGGTTTTATTGACAATTCTTTATACGCTTTCCTGTTTGTAAGCCTGTATTATGATGTACTCTTTTTTTAAGGCATCTCTAAATCCTACTTCAAGAGAGATAATTCTATAACTTGGTGGCTTATTTTGATTCATAACAATAATATATTTGTTTTAATACTTTAGGTATGTACATCCCGGTTCTGGTTTAATTATCGACATGTTGCAAATACTCTCTCTGTTTACAGAAGTGTCAAGAGGCTAGGTATTCCTGACAGGTAAGAATTCTTAATAAAGCTTAACTCTGAGCTTCAGTGAAAATGAACCTTAGACAATTGTTATTATTTTTGCATTTTCATATTGCTTTGGAAGAGTTGAAGAAGCCTGATTCGAAGGGTTTTTTATTGTTGTTAACACATACCATCATGTATAAAGTAGCTGTTACTTAAGACCATGATGACAAATTATATAAAATTATACAAAATAACAGTCAGTACCTTATAAGGTAAAAAGATTTGATAAAGTATAATTGTTTAGTGTCATTTATTTAATTATTAAATGCGTTAGTCTGGGTTTTTAATTGTAGGCAATTTTGACTGATTCAAGTAGAAAAGTAACTTATTGAAAGCATATTGATTAGCTCTCCAAATTGCTGGGAAGGCTATATGTAGCCAGGAACATGTTAGACTAGGTAGCAAGAAAGACATCTGGAAATCATGGCATAAAATCACCCAGTGACAATAATGCTGCCACATGTTGCTGGCTAGACTCTGCTACTGCATAGCTGCTACCATTATCTTGGGAAACTTAATGCTGCTGCTGCTGCTGCTGCTGCCAAAATCCAGCCTTTGCTGGCCCAGGTTCTTACTGTCTCTAGCTCTTAATTTAGAGTCCTTGGTGGAAATGTCATATTGGCAGAGCATAGATTAAAGTGCCTATGTTCATGCTGAAAGGGTGACAGGAAGAATGACTATGGCATTTTTAGCTTCTATAAATGGGGGTGGTTTCTGCCTTCTATGAAGACTCATAAAGTGGGATTATTTCCTAATTACATGAGGGAGTTAGGTACTAGGCAAAAAATCCCCATGCCTCCAGCCAGATACATGTTCTCCACATTTGGTTTGTCAGATATGATAGAGCTGTTTTTGCTACTACCAACATAGTTATAGAAGAAACTGCACTCAGTTCAGTTATTTAGGTTTGATTTATTTAGTGCTGTGCTCCTGTCCTCCTTTGAAGCAGAGTGGAAAGAGCTTTGCAACCAGATCTGAGTTTGAAACCTGGGTTAGTGGTGATTTCATCATGCTAAGTCCGTTTCCTTGGCTGTTACGTGGTCATAATAGTACCCTCTTTGCAGGATTCAGATTCTTGCAATAGAAAGCAAGTAGAGATATGTGTAATGTGCTGCAGGAGCAGAAAGGAAGCAGTGAATGACGCAGAAAACAAAGATATATTACATTCTATGTAAATAGATCATTTTAGCCTGAGAAGCTGACAGGAACTCTAATTTAATTCCTGGATTTCATCTGGAAATTAAGGCAACTTGATAATATTACCATTTAAAAAAGTATATTAAATTAAGTCTGAGAAAGAATGGTTTGCTGTATCAAGTTTACAGGTATTATTCTTGTAATTAGCCATTTATTATAATTTGCCATTTGGTTCTCCTCTAATAGGGCTATGTGGTTAGTCCTTTGGCTTTTAACTGCTGTTGCTTCTGTGCCCTATGTGTTCCTCCAGGGACTAACTATGCATAGTTTGGCAACAGTTTTCACTTTAGTAAGTGAATCTTTGTTGGGTCTATAGGTTATTATGATATGTTTAAACGGTCTAAGTAAGATTTAGAGGAACTTTTAAAAAATAGAATATAAACATAGGATGTATTTTATATATTATAATTGGTAGGTTTGCCCCTAGGTTCTGAAGAATGTTCTTTAAAAACTTATTCCTGTTTCACATGATTGCCTGTCTACCTCTCTGTTTATGACGTCTTTTTTGGGGAATGAATTGGGGATTTAAGCCATCTGTTTTTTTATAAGCAGAGATCAATATACAAGATTCAGTTTGGCTTTTAGCCTGTTTATGGTGAATATTCCTTTTATTGGTGACTTGTTTTACTTTACTCCTTCCTGGAATTAAGTATAAAGATATCTCTAACTAAATTCCTAGGAAGTAACAAATTATTATAAAATAAGAATTTGGAAACTTAAAATCATTAAGAACAGTTTTTAGTTTTAAAGCCTGAATTTCAAAATACAGTTTGAATTTATTTTTATACATTATGGAACATTTTTAAGTTAAAAATATTATAACTTTTGTTCATATTCTAGGTACGTATGCTGAGAGAAATGATTGTTCCATTTAATAAAAATGATGAGTAGAGCTCTGTTTTGTTTTTATTTTTTAATTCGCTTGTTTTTTTTTTTGTTTTTTTTTTTTGTTTTTTTTTTTTTTTTAAAGATTTTATTTATTTATTTGACAGACAGAGATCACAAGTAGGCAGAGAGGCAGGCAGAGAGAGAGGAAGGGAAGCAGGCTCCCTGCTGAGCAGAGAGCCCGATGCGGGACTCGATCCCAGGACCCCGAGATCATGACCTGAGCCGAAGGCAGCGGCTTAACCCACTGAGCCACCCAGGCGCCCTAATTCGCTTGTTTTTCAAGGGAGCATTTTACCTTTGTCTTGAGATGCAAGGCTTTGCATTTAATTTTCCCATATACTTGATAAGAAATGAGTTCATGTCACAAATAATTTGTTGAAGTACATGACACAAGTGATTGCCTTTTATTTTGGAAGTTCCCATCAATTCCATAGGTCCTGTTTGAAATGTCACTACTCTTGTTCTGATTTCTCTCTGATCTTCTGTGTGTATTTCACACATTCTGACCATACTGAGCCATTCTTTGTGCCTGGAATGGTTGTCTGTATTTCTGGCTCACTTCTACCAAAACCTGGCTGTGATTCCAAATCTCTTGTGGTTAAAAATACAGATTTCTTGGCTCCACCACTGGTGATTTAAGATTTAACTCTTAAGCAATGCCTAGACATTAGCTCTAGATGTGGTTCTGATGCACAATCAAGTTTAGGAAGCACAGCTTTAATTTATACCTGACCTTCCAAATTTACTTAATACTTCTTTAAAAACGCCTTTCCAGACTCTTTTATTTGCTTCTGTGGTATCCTGCATATACTCTGATTATAACATGATTATATGAATTATAGTATGTCTCCCTCATTAGATTATAAACTCTTTGAAAGGAGTGGATTATATTTTATTTCATTTTGTACTTACATCTAGCACCTACATATAGTAGTTTCTCAGTAGGCATTGGATAAATAAGTGACTTGGAAATACTTCGTCAGGTAGGCAGAGCAAACTCAAGTTTGTTCTTTAAAAATAAAAACACTTGGGTTGCCTGGGTGGCTCAGTTTGTTAAGCGTCTGCTTTCCACTCAGGTCATGATCTCAGGGTTTTGGGATCGAGCCCCACATTGGCTCCCTGCTTAGTGGGGAGACTGCTTCTCCCTTTCCCTCTGCTTCTGTCCGTAGCTTGTACTCCTCTCTCAAATAAATAAATAAAATCTTTAAAAAATAATAAAAATAAAAACACTTCTCTTTCCTAAATTGTGTTAGTTTTTAGTAAATGTTCGTATGATATAAAAGACTATTAATAAAGAGTTTGTCAGGACTTTATAATAGTATTTGAAAATGTTGACTCAGGGAAGGGATTTTAGTGGTTATGGGGGAAAATAAAGAGACATATTATTATTGTTTTTATACCTAAGTTCCATGGAGGACAGGTGTTTCATACTTTGCCCGTGCTTTCTGTAACCTTACCCACCCTCAGGTACTTTTTAAAAATTTGCCTGGTTTTACTTCTTTAAACATTTCACTTTTTCAGGAATTTTTCTGCCCTCAAATAATTGTTTTGAACTAAATCCCTGTTTTGCTATCTCCAATATGCTTAAGATGCTGAAGATGAGGAAATTAAAAGGCATTAAGCAGAGATTAGGCCCCCAAATTGGCATGTGAACGAAAAATTGAGCCAAAATTATTATTACTATTTTTTTAAGATTTTACTTATTTATTTGACAGAGAGAGAGATCACAAGTAGGCAGAGAAGCAGGCAGAGAGAGAGGGCGGGAAGCAGGCTCCCTGCTGAGCAGAGAGCCAGACGAAGGGCTCAATCCCAGGACCCTGAGATTATGACCTGAGCCAAAGGCAGAAGCTTAAAGCCCTCTGAGCCACCCAGGCACCCTGAGCCAAAATCTTTCTTGAGAGTTTCTCAAATAGCACATAAAATACAATGTAGTATTGTTTTCCATTAAGCCTGACGTTTCCTCTAGTGCTAGAGCAGATTACTGTTTTCTTTTTCTTTGGTGGAGTGCTTGATGAAGTGGTTTGCTTGGGACTAGGGAATATGTTATGTGAAAGTACATCTCCTCCAGAGTAGAAGTAGATGCTCATGCTGTTAAGAGGCATACAGGGATTGGTATTGACTGAGAGGATATAGAATCATAGTTCCCATCTCATGTTTACTTTGGAGAATAAATGCATTGAATTTTGGGGTGGGTGAGATCGAACCCCTACTGAGTGCGTTAAGATTAACTTTATGGAGTTAAATGTGTACATAATTTTTCTTAAAATATGATTTAGCTGTACTACAAGTTGGGTGGATGTGAGTTTTTGTTATGATCCTGTTTGATAAACTATTTCTATAGTTAAACCTAACAGCAGCTTTTCTGACTCCATTTTTCCTCCGTACTCTATATTTTAATCATTATGTAAGATTAATATTCCTCTTTTAAACCTTTTTCTTCATCTCCCCTTATTCATAAACTCTTAAGTTTATGCAAATAAAGTTCATGTCCTCTATGTTAGTATTCAGTCTGGTTCCAGATCTAACATTCTGATAATTTAATTTCAGTCCCTGTGCTCTAGCCACTTCCTTCTTGTAAGTTCCTCTTTTGGCCTCTGTCATTACCTTACACTGGTCATTCCACCTATAGTTCCTTTCTTCCTCCCTCTTTCTAGTTTTCCTATGCCGAGATTCAATTTATACACTCCCTGGAGCTTTCTTGGTCCTTCTTGCATAAATATTTTATTTATACTTCTGTCATGTGACTTTTTTTGTATGTACTGATCTTATTTCTTTGATGCTGGCTCTCATATTATGTTTGTAATCCTCATAGTACTTTCTTTAGTATATTGTAGAGAGTTGAATGAATGAATGAATGAATGAATAGTTTGCTGAAAACTACTAGCCAAGTGGAACCTGAT